ATGTGGGCACATTTTGATAATTGCTATACTGGCAGATAGATTGGAATGAGAGGATTTAGAATATATATACATGTGTAGCATTATAAATGTGTGAAGAGAGAGATTGAAGACAAAAGTAGACAAATATGCACGAATAAGTGCTTAAGAAGTGCTTGGGCACCATCCACCTTTGTTATTCTAACTCCATTTAGAGAGGTAAATGACTCTCCTGTGCATTCTGACATAGTTTTCAATATGTCCAGGAGTCTCTGTGAATATTTAGGTGAATTTACAACATGTATGTAGTGTGTAGTGGCAGAAATGACCTTGTGCACTGCAGCAAACATGTTTGTGCCAATTTTAGCGCCATTAACGCTTATCCTGGAACATTTAGATATATAATCTAATGTTATAGCACGCCACAGATTATATCCGCATTTTAGCGAAATTATCTGAAATTTATTGAGGGAGGAACAATCTTGTAAATCTGACAGACTTCAGAAGCCCTCCCAGATGCTTAGTCAAACCTATTCACGCACACCCGCCTGCAGATCTGGCCGATTTGCAGGCAGGTATGCATGATCAGCTACGACTAATGGGCGCATAAAACGTCGGGAGGGCGCAGTTCTTGTTTGAGCTTGTTTTAAGGCTTCTGAGAGCTGTTTTAGCTGTTTTTGGCTGTTTTGGCTGTTTTTGACTGATTCAAAAGAGTGTTGAGATCAAATACACTGCTTGCACACCATTTTGTACCATATATAGTAGATTTATGCAAAGAGTTTGTTGCATAAGGACCTCTTTTAGGATGGATGGCATGGCAAAACTTTGGATGTAGCTTTTGAGAGCAAGAATGATGTAAGAATTACAGAGCTGTCTCTTCTCTAATAAATGTTGGATGAATCTGCTAAAATGCGGATATAATCTGTGACATGCAGGGGGCACCATTTGATGTGTCTGGATGTTCCTGATACTGGCACTTATAGCGCATAAATGAGTGCAAACATACTTGCTGGTGTTTTCAAGGTCATCCCTGCTACTGCACACTGTATACACATTTTATATTCATCGAAATATTCATAGACACTCCTTATCATATTGGTGACTATGTAGAGATATAATTAATATCTTCTTAGCTACTTTTAATTGTATAATCCACATTTTGCTGTAATTGCAGAGACAAGTATTTCTGACTCAGTTCCTTTTATCTTCTACATTTTATGATTTCCATACATTCTAGTCTATATATATATATATATATGCCCATATATAGCTTGAGTATATATTTCACAGTAGATTAGCCTGCTATAAACTGTAAACCTATGTTATTTCTGTTGTGTTCTGATTTTTTATACTTATAAGGTAGTTGAAAGCCTTTCAAAAGCTACTACAGCTTTTAGGTCATCATGCACATATACTATACAGTATTAGAAGTATATTCAAGGGTTTGAAGGGTCTGTAACATGTAGGAATGTTCTGCATTATGGCAGGCTTCTGTCTCAGCCTTTGGCTTTCTCTGATCTTTTGTGCTTCTAAGTGGTTTATTATATCTGTACACAGTCTCATACAATAAATAAGAGAGAGAGATCTCAACCTAGAACCTTTTGTGCTATTAAAATACTATATCACATTTGTACCCAACAGTATAAGGACACTAAATCAATTGTAAGATTAGAAGCTTGAACAATAGGCAGAGGTTCTGAGCAGATTCTGAGCAAAGTCTTATCAGTCTTTGTCATGAATTAACCACTACTCCCACCTATTTTCGCTTATTTTCACTCTTTTACTTCTGTCTCTGCATCTCTCCTATTTTTACCTCTTCCTCCTATCATAACTTTCCAGCTTCTATATCAATCCAGTCAGTCTCAGGCTCAGTCCAAACTTAGCCTCTATATGAGCTGGGCTTTATTAGACTTATGGCAGGCTTTATCAGACTCATATTAGTCTTTGTCAGGCTTTGTTAAGCTCTGACTCAGCTCCTATGTAAAACTTTGAAGTAGGTCAGAGTGTGTTTATGTAACACTGTATGGTATCTATTTTGTAAGGTATATAAGCTGCAGACTTTCTAGAATAAGATCTCCAGCCTTGAGCTGGTCTTTATTCCAACCATCACTCTTAGCTATCTTGCTCCTCAAAAGTTCAGCTCCTTCCACTCCTAGTCTCTTGCTAGTGATGTGCAGGTTTGGCTTGGGCTTGTGATGTCATTGAACTGAGCCCTGAGCCTAAGCCAAGCCTAAATCTGGTCCAAGCCATGGGCTTAAGTCTAAGCTTGCTCACAATACAATGAGTGTTCTGGTGCTATTAAAAGAGAGTATATTTGGGTGTAGTAGATTACTACTGCATGTACTCACCAAATTATAACCTTCAGAAGGCCTACACTTGCAGAACAAGTTAAGTTGCAACAAAGTTCATAAGTGTGCACCTATAGCAAACACTAGACAATAGTGCACAACCATGCTTGGCAAGAATTGTTGAGTTTAGAATATCTATATTTTGTCTTGTATATACATATCAGATTGTTCTCACTTTATTCTGAACTCAGAAAATAGTAACAGAGCTAGTGCACCCAGGTCTAATCCAAACCTGAGCTTTTAAGCCAGGGTTGAGCTTGACTTAGGTTGACTATGCTTTGAGCCTGGCTTTGAGCTTGCTGTTAGGCTTGGTGGGCTTGCAGGCTTTGAGGTCTGGCCTGCACATCACTATCTTTTGCTGTTAAGCCTTAGCTCCAGCTTATGGTTATTCTTGCCTACTTTTTGTAGTTGTCTGTTCTAATTTCTGCCAAAGCTGTTCTAGCTGTAGTTAGTGTTGAAGTGTGATTATCACTGACAGTCTTAACATGAAGGTGAAATGAATTAAAATGGCCAGTAGAAGATCTGAGCATTATATAAGTGAAGGTCTATTACATTCAAAGCTAGCTTATACTTATAATCTTAAGCAATTTGAAAGTAAATTGAAAGGTTAAAAACCTAAAACCATGATCTTAAAAGAATTTGACCTTGAAAAGAATAATGGAAGATTTATAGAATAAGCTATTATGATTTCTGAATGTAATGAAGAAATGTTCTGTTGGAAGTAGCACTTTGGAGGTCAGGTTGCTTTTTAATGCAAATCTGCCCCTCATTCTATAACTTGCTATACTTATGCTATTGACTTGAAATTTGGTCCACACATATCTCCATCATAGATCTACATGTAAAAAATCATTTGGTCACAATTCGATCAGTTTTGGCTCTTCAGCACTGTATTTTATGCTTGAGCTGGGGACTTAGACAAATTTCATGAATAGGCCACTTTCAAAAGGCACAACATCCAAATGATATTTATACCATCAGATAGAGCATAGTGAAAAGGTCCAGAATATATAAAGAAATTTGCCAAATTAATTGTTTAAAGAGGTGATTTGAAAGGAATAAAGCACAAGAAAATGCTAGATTGAGCACCCAATAGGCACCATAGCATGTTCTGCCCTCTTCATCACTTCTACTCTTTCTCACATATTTTTGTCCATCTATACCATATAGCATAGAGTCTGCTATATACATACTAACTGTGTATCTAGTATGAGAATGGTTCAAGACTATGGTTCAGTGATAAAGTGCTGACTACTGGCTTTAAAGCTTAGTGCACAGTGCTGCACAATGGATTATGAACTTAGCAGTGACTACAATTGCATGATATTTTGTATTTCTACAAGAGGTCGCTCCGTGGTGTCTGCTCACGGCACATAGAATGAGACAAGCAGCTTGTATCAATCCATGGTCTCAGCAGGCCTGTTCGTTATCTACAAATTGTTCTACACTTTCTCAAGGCCCTTGCAATGTACATTATAAATTACAGTAAAATTTTGGGGTAGATCACATTGACCGCTGTTCCATCAGTGGCACTGAGTCTTATAATCCCATGAGACCAGTGTCAGATCTAAGACAGTGCTGTGTAGAGCTACCTGTGGGAGAACACTGGATGTGTCAGGTCAATTGCGACTCTGTCAAGAGTGAGGCCCTAGCAGCTGTGGAAAGTGGTAGAGTATGTGAGGCCGAGAAAAAATTGGAGTTGTACGAGCATGTACTCAGAGTGCAGTTTATGAGTGAACATGATCTGTAGGGTAAGCAGCTTGTCATCATCATTCAAGCTACCAGCACCTGTTACCAATGGGTGCAGGAAGCACACAGTTATTCGTCTGGTGCCCACCGCTCATAAGAACACAAACATTTTTCATGAGTCTGCAATTGAGGGAAAAGTTTTGCAACAGATGACACACGCTGTTCACTTTGATGATGAGCATGTGTGATGGCAGCCCTGGAGGTGTCTTGCATGCAGTGTAGTCAAGCAAAGAGTTTGTGTCTGAGAGGAGCACCTCAGCGTTGTCTGCTTCCTTTAACGAGTCTGCCAGAAGATAAGTTCTGTGTTTGCTGATAATGCAATCAAGAATGGTACTGTTGAAGCTATCGACCTGTTGATTGGTAGGAGCCAGAATCAAACAGTGGCAGCAGACATCTGGCTGTCACAAGATGTTGTTCGGAAAGATGAAGTTGATCAAGTCTTCAGAACACTCTGTCTTTTGCAGCATGTCCAAAGCCATGTTTGGGCTGGCACTGTTTTCGACATCATAGAAAAAGAATGTGAAGTCCAGATCATCTGCATTGCAAATGGGGATTGTGAGGTGAAAAATTGAGAGGTGATTCCAAAGAGGAGATGTCCTGATCGAAGCCTGAATGATTTTGCCTCTGTGTCCCCCACAAACTACAGGGCACATTTGTCAAAAGTCACCAAGCAAGACCACGACTTTGCCACCAAAAGGTAAGTGGTCATGTTCTAAGATTGTACAGAGGGTGTTTTCAACATAGGCCAGTACTGCCTTGTTGGCCATTGGTGCCTCGTCCCAAAAAACCATCTTGGCACTGTTAAGCAGCTCTGCACACAAGCAGCGTGAGGTGATGGGTGACTTGAGCATCTCATTGCAATCATTGACCAGAACCTGGATTGCAGAATGTAAGCATGTTAGCAGCACAGCAGCAGTGCACAGTCCATACCTTGAAGGTTGAATGGGTTGTTCGACTCCCAGAGTACAGCTGAGCTGCATATCCAGAGGTTGCTGTTGGCAGTACAATCACTTTTTGTGTGCATAGATAATCACAGAAAGCATTGATGAGAAATGTTTTGCCTTGACCTGCTTTGCCATCAATAAAAGCAAGCAGCTGTCGTTTGTGCATTGCTGCATCAACAATGGTATGGAAGATTGCACATTGCTTGGTGTTTAAGTGGGCAAAGGCACTGTTAGCACGGCCTCACAGGACTCCAAGCTGAGAATACCACCATTGAAGTTTGTGCTTAACCTCTGCAGAGAACATAGCCGGTTTGGGCAGGCTATAGTTGCTAAGAGTCTTGCTGTGCTCTTTGAGATAGGTGGCTAGTTCTTATAGGGCGTGGTTGATGTCCAGTCTCTCATAGTTGTTGTGCTGAAAGATAAAGTCATAAGACAGCTGCACATGCAGATTGTCCCACAGAGGTGCCAGCGTGCTGATGCAATCATTCACAAGCAAGTTCACGAATAGGACATGGAGCTGTCGCAGTGTGCATAGCATTTCAATTGCCTCAAACAGTACGAGCTCAGCTTTGTTCTGTTCAGCAAACAGTCTCAATGCAGCACAGGTGAGTTGAAATGTGGGATGCAATTTGCTGTCAACTATTTGCAGCTTGGCAAAGCTGCGCACCAGCTGCTGTTAAAGCAAGGTGCGCAAGTAGAAGTGCTCACCTTCAGAGGGTTGTGCAGAATGAACACATGTGATGTGATCTCCTGGTTATAAGCACAGGATGACGTACATTTGAATAGTGGGTGATCAAGCATCGTAAGTCTTCTCAAAGTAGTTGGGTGATCTATGCAAGTAGGGTTGTAGGTAGTGAGCCGAAAGAGAGCACAATAATCAATGTACGTGATGTCATCGAAGTGGCAGATATGATCATTTCGGTCTGTGAAAGATTTCGCAGATCAGACAAAGTAATGTTTCTAGAAAGAGAGACTGTTGTTGACGTCATTTCCCTGCAGGTGGTATTACCAATGGGTGTTGGCACCCTTGAGATGGACCGGCAGTGCAGTGACAGCTGGATGCTTTCAAGTGAGCATGTACCCCAGTATTCTCCAGGTGGCTTCTCTAGCTGAAAGATAGCGTGTGTTTCAGTAGTTCTCAATCTCGTTAACTGTGCCACCTGCGACGTGAATGGTGTACCGCATATGGTCAGGGCTTGGACCATCCATCAGGTGAGTCAATGACGCGCACACAGTTGGCTCGCATTGTACCTTTGTGTATGTACTTGAAAATGTACTAAAAGAGATGAGAGGAGTTTGCAGCCTCCACGTTCATGTGGCAGTGGAAGATGCACGTGAGCTCTGAGCAGTAAGGTACGACCATGTTGTCTTGCTCTGACCTGCAGTGGTAGTCGACGCGTCCTTGAACATTGATTGTTATCACCGCACGAACTGGCTGCATATAATGAAACTGACAGGTTCAAACTTCTCCTGGGCCCTCATATTGACAGTATTTGTTCATCCTCTTGTTTAGTGCAGGATGCTTGTGCAGTATGTGCTTGCAAACGAGGTGCAAGAGGTTTGGATCATCAGGCAGTTTAAGGCATTGTACCAGGTATGATTAATCATGTGGTAGTAACTACTACAGTGTGCAATGTATAATCTATTAGTAACTGAGCTAGCAATCACGTAAGGTCTGTAGAGCCTCTCTGGCACCTCTCAGCATGCTATATATAGTGCTTCTATCAACTGAACTTGAAATTAGGCTGCATATGTAATATACCGCTTTTTTGAAAAAATGGCTAAGCTAAAACATCATCTCAATATGGTAAAGCATTTCAAAATATATAATATATTTTGAATATACTACATGTTAAATGTTCTTATATTATGTCATAGAAAACGTATATACAAACAAGTTCTTCATTAGTAAGCAGCTCAGCAAAGCAGTATTTAGACTGTTATTCACAAAAAACTCGCCAGGAGCCAGTAAATTTTTAGATATATATGGTAGTACTTCTGAATTTGAAATAAGCGCCAGAGCGCGGGAAACTAGCTTCTGCAAGCTATTACACCTGCTCTCCTTTCTTTCCCCTCATAAAATTGTCAGAGCAAGCATTAGAATAGATTCTAGTATACTTGTGTGGTGTATACATTATAACAGATAATAAATAAGCTTTAAAGCGAAAAAGCGTCGTGGGCGTAACTCCAGCCTTCTATTATTTTTCCATTTTCCCTGATTTTCTACGATTCATTCCACGTTTGTATGATCCTCCAAACATTGTTGATGCATTGGCACCAGTTTACAAGTCCTAGCCACGTGCTAACACTTTGAGAACGCATCACCAATAGACACGCATCAACGTATCAGACGCGCCCACATCACTGCCGCCACGTTACCACACCATGCTTTCTTGGTAACAGCCGCGCTTTGATCTCCATCAGACCTTCTATCCACACCAAGTACATTATCGCCAAGCTACATTTTGTGAGCCAAGGATCAAAACCACATATGCGACAACAACACATCAGGTTATGAAGAAGCATGAACACTGACCGTTTATGTGACTACAGCACATCACATGAGGCAGAAGGACAAAGTTGTACTAAACTACTTTAGTCAGCTAGGACAAACAAAGATCGTTAATGCTATAGTCACAAATCACATCATAAAAGATGCAGCTACAACCTATGCACTTTTTTACCTTTAGCTTTGGTGAGTGGCACCTTGGCCAGATCTTCACTGCCATCGCTTGCAGTAGCAGAATGAGTAGATGTGGGAGAGGTTGCCAAAGTAGTGACTGGAGGAGAAGTCTAATCAAAGCTCTCTGCAATCTTTGTGGCACTGTTGGTAGATAACAGTGGGCTGTGCTCGATGTTGCTGATCAAGGAAAATTGGCTAATAATGGTGGCACTATTGATAGGCAATAGTGGGTGTTGCTTAATGTCACTGGTCAAGGAACATGGGCCGATAGTGGACTCTATGTATGTAGGAGGAGAACTACATGCATGTAGCATCTTGGCTGTGATTGTGGCATCAACCTAAACTGTCAGTACCATGACTAGCATGTTGGTGTGACATGCAATGCCGGTGCCAGCAGATACAGGCAGCACAGAGCCGGTGGTGGTCATGCTAGTCATAGTTCCTAAGTAAGCAGCCTCAAAGACAGGCAAACAACACATGGAGGGGCTACAAAAGCCTTGTACTTGCGTTTCTTACCGAGACCAGTTCTCAGACTAGCACTGGTGGCAGGATCAGAAGCAGGCGGCAGGGTGTTAAACGACAGTGACTTGATCTTGATGATGAGCATGCTGTCATGGCAAAATTCACTCAAGGTGCCAATAATCTGCATGGTGCACTGCACGACAGGCAGTGGAATGTGAGCCCAGCGAGAGGTGGACCTATTGAACATTGCCCTGAGGATTGATATCAGTGAAATAAAGGTGAGCATAAATTGTGCAGACGCACTCAACCGTGGACATCTTCTTCTTGTCTCGCACGTAATCTGAGGCCTCAAGGATAAGATGTTTGCTTTTATCAAGAGGCATTGCATTCTGCACAAAGTGAACCACCTCAAGCTCAAGGAAATGCAGGGGAATATTGGGCAAATGTTTATCATATTTGTCTTTGGAAGGATCGCCAGAGAAAGAATAAACGTGGATGGCTTCGAACAGGACTGGAGTTCTGATAGGTGCATAGACACGTGTAATGATGAAGACTACTGTGTCGTCAGGTAGGGGGAGGTCCTCATGAGGGCTGTAAACATGAAGCTCGGCAGAAATGAAGAAAATGTGAGAACCTGTGCATCCAAGTGATTTGATGACTGTGTTGTAAACGCAGTGATAGGTGACTTGGCCAGTGGGAGTGGTGGAGTAAATGCAATAACCACCAGTGACAGTGGTCATACCAAAGATGAGAGCAGATTGAGATATGATGATGCTGAGGGAGAGGAGAGAAGAAGAGCAGAGAGAACGCGGTAACCATCACCATTGCACTAAGTATCTCTCTAAGGAACACAGTCATGCTTGGAAATGAAGCTGTGGGACAGAGAGGGTGTGCACGTGGACAGACCATGTGAATAGCTGGGCCTAGATACGCAAGATCCGCTGCAGTCCTGGAATGAATGACAGCATTAGAAGACTGGGCAGTTAACACGGAGTCGCAACTAACAGACTCAGAAGGTGCATCACTGAGTGAAATGATATCAGGCGAGATACAGACATAACCAACAGGCAATGTGTTTTGGCATGGGGGCATGGGGCAGTATAAAAGGCATAGGCAAAAGTAAGTCACAGAGGCACAGATTGCAGGAAATAAAAGGATCAACAAAGACATAGCTTACTTTGAGGGCATCTGTGTTATAGTATAGTAATATAGTAATTGTCCATACTATCTAGCACTGTGCTAAATTTAGGTAGAATTAATAAAAGTTATCTGAAATTATTAGAAATGTTCTATTTATTCATTGTTCTTACTCCTCTCTACAGATCAATACTTGTCCGTAATTCACACAGATATTCTAAAAGTCTCTTTTACTATGCCTTGCAAGTATTGGGTTATTATATTGTGCATATTCAAACATATGAGCTCATAATTAGGCATATAGTCATCATCTTGTGCATAAAGTTTAACTTTTCAAGCTACCACACTTAATAGCTGTTCTACTCCATTCTGCTATCTCCCATATATATTTTACAGAAATATATAGTTATAATATCTGCCATTATATTACTTTATCTTAGCCTGCAAAATCAAAATTCATCAAAATACAGAGGATCTCCCAGCCAAGATTGAACTTCCAACCTCTATCCAATAAAGCAACTGCTCTTTTAAAATGTGCAATTTGCCACCTCGGACTCAACTGGGAGGAGGAGTAAGTATATCTCATACACTTCTTTCACTTTAACCACCACCATCTCTACTCACAACATGCTTCACAAGTGTAACTTCTCCAAGCCTTCATGGAGATTTGACTTGCTCCTGATCTTTTACCTTGCTTGCTACCTTTTGGTAGTTTTTACTGGCACTTTCTTAGACAAAATCACTTTACAACCTTTGACACAAACTCTGAACTGAACTGGAATGAAATAGTTGGAGGCACCATTTGTAAAAGCCCTACTTTGTCTTGCTCAGACAGACTGTACAAGTAAAGCAACCCAGTTCAGATTGAGTAGAGTCTAGGTTATAATTGCCTTCAGCTACTCTGTGGCATGGTTAGAGAGACTATCTCTAAAAGCCCTGTTCTGTCTTCTGGCTCAGACAGGCTAAACTAAAAGAGCTTTCCAGTTGAGAATAAGTGAAGCCTAAAATATAACTAGGGTTATGTGGGCCATAGCATATATGCTTGGTGGGTACAATTTCTTCATTTCTTTTATGCTGTAACATAAATAATAATAACTCAAATATTATAATAGCTTACCATTTATATGAAACTTGGAGCTATATACAGTATTACAAGTTTACCAGTTTCTAAATTGTCTGCTTGGTCAGACAGTGCAAGACTTATTAGATTATATCTGGTGCCTGTAATCAAGCCAGAATTTGGAGAAATGGCCTCTGAAGCCATGCTACAAGGTAGTTGAAAGCTTTGTTAACCCAGACTCCACTTATATTAGACTGGGATGCTCTTCTGTTTTAATCTGTTTGAGCATGAAGACAGGACAGGGCTTTTAGAGATGGTACCTGTGGCCATGCCACAAAGTGGCTAGAGGCAGTTATATTCCAGGCTCCACTCATTCTCAACCAGGAAGCTCTTTTGGTCCAATCTGTCTGAGCCAAAAGACAGGACAGAGCTTTTAGAGATGGCCCCTGCAACCATGCCACAAAGTGGCTGGAGGCATTTATAACCCAGGCTCCACTCAATCTGAACTGGGTTGCTCTGCTTGTTCAGTCTGTCTGAGCAAGACAGAGTAGGCCTTTTATAAATGGTGCCTCCAATCATTTCATTCCAGAAGTTGAGCTCAAAGTTTATGTCAAATGTTTGTAAAGTGATTGTCTAAGAAAGTGCCAGTAGAAGCCACCAAAAGGTGGCAAGCAAGGTAGAAGATCAGGGGCAAGCCAAATCTCTATGAAGACTTGGAGAAGTTACACTTGTGAAGCATGTTGTGAGCAGAGATGATGGTGGTTAAGGTGAAAGAAGTGTATGAGGTGTACTTACCCTTCTCAGTTGGGTCTGAGGTGGCAAATTGCACATTTTCAAAGAGCAGTTGCCTTATTGGGTAGAGGTTGGAGGTTCAATCCTGGCTGGGGGATCTTTTTGATTTCGATGATTTTTGGTTTTGCAGGCTAAGATAAACCAATATCATGGCAGATATTATGACTATATATTTGAATAATGTATTTATGAGTGCTCTGAGATAGCAGAATGGAGTAGAACAGCTATTAAGTGTGGTAGCTTGAAGGATTAAACTCTATGCACAAGATAATGACTATATGATCAATTATAAGCTTATACATCTGTATATAGACAATATTATCTTATAGTACTTTCAAGGTATAGTCAAGGATTCTCCTAGAGTATATTCATGAATTATGAACAAGTATTGATCTGTAGAGAGAAGTAAGAGTGGTAAGTATGTGGTACATTTCTAGTAATTCCAAATGAATTTCTAGTATTTCTAATATACTTGGTAGTACCTAGTAGTGGGAGCTATTGGTGTGTAAAATATCAAGCCATTGAAAACACTTTTGGGTTCACAATTGATTGTGCAACACTGTGCACTGAGGTTTAAAGCCAGAAGCAAGCACTTTATCACTGAACCATCACCATAACCTATTCTTATACTTAGCATACAGCTAATGTGTACATAGCAGATGTTATGCTACATAGTGTAGATGGATAGAAATGTGTGAGGAAGAGTAGAAAGACCATGCTGTGGAGCTTATAGGGCGCTTAATCTGGCGTTTTCTCGCACTTTGTTCTCATTGGTTCACTCCTTTAAACAATTAATTTGTCATATCTTTTTACATATTCTGGACCCTCTAAACAGGCTCTATGTGATGGTATAAAGATAATCTAGATGTTGTGCCTTTTGAAAGTGGTCCATGTGTGAAATTTGTCTAAGTCCTGAGCTCAAGCACAAATCATAGTGCTGAAGAGCCAAAACTGATCCATATGTGGTCAAACAAATTTTCACATGTAGATCTATACTAGAGGTATATGTGACCCAAGTTTTGGATCAATAGCTTAAGTATAGCAAGCTGTAGAGCGAGGGGCAGATTTGCACAAGAAAGTAAACTAACTTCCAAAGTGCTACTTCCAACAGAATGTTTCTTCATTACATTCAGAAATCGTAATCACTGAACCATGGTCTTGAACCATTCTCATACTAAGTACACAGTTAGTATGTATATAGCAGACCCTATGCTATACAGTATTAATAGACAGAAATATGTGAGAAAGAGTAAAAGTGATGAAGAGGGCAGAATATGCTGTGGCGCTTATCGGGCGCTTATTCTGGCATTTTCTCACACTTTGTTCCTTCCAAATCACCTCTTTGAACAATTAATTTGGCACATCTTTTTACATATTCTGGACTCTTTCATTACACTCTATCTGATGGCACAAAGACCATTTGGATGTTGTGCCTTTTGAAAGTGGCCTATTCATGAAATTTGTCTAAGTTCCCAGCTCAAGCATAAAACACAGTGCTGAAGAGCCAAAACTGATCCAATTATGATCAAATGATTTTTTACATGTAAAGCTATGATGGAAATATATGTGGACCAAATTTAAAGTTAATATATTAAGTATAGCAAGTTGTAGAGTGAGGGGCAGATTTGCATTAGAAAGTAAACTAACCTTCAAAGTGCTACTTCCAACTGAACATTTTTTCATTACATACAGAAATCGTAACTATCTGTGAGAAACTGAATCAGAGTCTGTCACTGCCTGCAAAGGCAAGTGATTCCAGTGCTAAAGGTTTATTTTGGCGGGTGTGGACAATATCTGGTATTTTGATCAGCATGACAAGCTCAAACTAGGGTTATGTGGGCTATAGCATATATGCTCGGCAGGTACAATTTTTTCATTTCTTTCATGTTGCAACACAAACAATAATAACTCAGATGTCATAATAGCTCACTATTTATATGAAACTTAAAGCTATATATGACATGCATCACTTTATCACTTTGCAAGATATTTTAACAGTAATCCTTCATTATTTTATTATGTGAACCTTATGAATAATGTGCCTATCACATAAATAATAATAACTTACAGCCCATTATACTGTTTATTTACAATATCTGACTCTAAAATCCAAAGGCTAACTTATGCCCATCTGGACTATTAGTAAATTGGGCTGGTTTCCTGCTACAAAGCTGAGATTCTAAGTGATATAGGCTATCATGCTTTAATCCATCATTATACCTTACTTGCTAATTAGCACTAACTATCCTGGCTGTAAAGTGCTCATTGTCATAATAAATAAATTCACATAGCCTGTACTTGCACCTGTCCAAGTTCAGTATAGAAGTTCACTCAACAGTAACTTTATCAACTTTGAACTTGAGAAATTAAAGCATATCATCTATGATTACTTTCTTTACTGGCTTGGTACTACAGCTATTGCATGTTATATTGGCTATTTGTCTTGTGTTAGCATGTAACCATTCTAATGAAGTTCTC